TTCATACGTGTGTTCATTCAGCAAATTATTTAAGGTTATTTAGACTGAAAATAGCTGTTAAGAAACAGATATTATCTTAACAGATAGTTTAAGGGTGATAACTTAGGACTCCAAAACGACCTGGAGAAATTATGTGAATGGTTCCAAACCTGGCAATTGCCGTTAAATACTTCCAAGTGTATTGTGATGTATATTGGCCATCAGAGTACAGATACATACACGATGAATAACAGTGAGCTACCTATTGTCATGACACACAATGACTTAAACGTCATCGTTAGTCAAGACTTAAAGACTACTGCACACTGCCGTGCAATAGCTGCCAAAGGTTTTAGAACTTTATAGTCCATACGTAGGGCTTTTAGTCTTCTCGACGCTAAAACGTTTCTGACTTTGTATACAGTATTCGTGCGTCCTAAACTTGAATACTGCATACAAGCAGCTAGCCCCTGCCTAAAAAAGGACAGTGAACTCTTGGAAAGGGTTCAGAGAACAGCAACTAAGATGATTCCCGGAATAGCGAAGCTCCCGTATGGTACTAGACCGACTAAGCTAAACCTATTCCCGCTGTCATATCGAAGAATGAGAGGCGACCTGATTACAGTTTTCAAATTGCTTAGTGATAAATTTGCACCTGATATGCCCTCATTTTTCTTGTATCCGAAAACAGAGAATTTACGAGGACACTCCAAAAACGTTCACAAGCCCAGAACGAATTACTTGTCAGCTGACTACCGACTTTCCCATCGAATAATGAACGAGTGGAATTCATTACCTCAGGACGTGGTTAAGGCTCCATCCGTCGACTTTTTCAAAAGAAAGCTGGATCACCTGAGAGACCATCATTGCCAGGACTAACACAGGCCATCAAGCCTCCTGTCCTTTCCAAACTGAAACTGAAGATGATCAAGATGAATTACGACACATCTTTTCTTTTGAGTATTTAAGTGGACATAGAATAAACTTAATACACACTATCGGCTTACAATTTCTTCATAGAAGGTTTTCTGGAACATTCTTTTATCAACCTCAGTCTACTTAATATTTAATTCACCAACTAGGCACTGGTTCATATACTTGACTTTGAGTCACTATAATTGTTAGGAGTAATGATATTGTACGGTCTCCCAAAAATGAGATAATCGGTAGGAATTTGAAGTTACAACTTAATGACTTTAACCACTGATCAGTCTGTTATCAAGTGTAAATTTTCTTCTCATCATTTTTGTTTTAGGTAAACGATTCATTCAAGCATTATTTCTGTATATATCTCAAGCCTACTCTTATATTCAGACTCATTTTGATGAATTTCGATAGTGTAATAAGAAGACGAAGATTATCAGAACTATGTGATGATATATTAGCGCAATACATTTCGAACAGTCGGATCACACATATACTTGTTATATATAAAAATAAAAGGTCAATTAGACTGGAAATGGGGGGTAAGAATAGACAAGGATAATAGTAATAATAATGTGAAAACAATTTGAAACCTGATCACTCTGGATAATAAGCTAATATTACCAGGGTTGGTTTAAAGGTAAGAACAAACTGTTTTTGAATACACAAAGGGGGTTTGAATTTTCGAATGGCTAAGGCTTTAATAAATCTTAGTATATGCCCTTTTACACTTTTGTACAACACAACAAAAGCCGAGTTACGATGATGGGTAATTCTAAATAAGTACTCATTTCGCTGATGGTTAGTATTACTTTTCTTTTCTATTCATATACGCAAGCTGTAAAATGTAGTTGACCTAAATCTAGTTCACTGAGTATTTTAAACGGTGATTTACTTATTCATATGGCACATGCCATAAAAATAGATGAAGCAAACTGCTCAAATAACATGTACCCTATATTAATGTGACTAATACAATTGAAGTGAGAAATCTGTGTAAGATGTCAATTTTTCAATTTCTTAATGAATAAATTACGTCTTAATAAGGAAGAGATATATTGAAGTTAGCTGATTAAACAATGTGGATAATTTTAGTTTTTCAAAGTGAACACAAAATCGTTTAAATTGTAATGCGGAGACTAGACAGTTAGAAAAACGAAAACGACCTTGAAATGCAAAACAAAATTCGAAATGAATAACTTTTATAATGCAGAAGGAAACATTATAAAAAGGTATAGCACAATTGTATTTGGAACATGTCTTGTTCAGTCCACACAGACTTAAGTATGATGTAATCAGTTGGTAAGTGTTATATCGAATGAGTGAGTGCCCAGTTAATATATAACGTGATTAGAACGCCAATCAGAGAACAGCAATTTATCGATCGGAACAATGATACACAAAACCGTATGAGCAGTCTTGAGTACTTATCAGTCCTGCTTTCTGCCTAGTCCTACCAGTTAAGTCCAGAACACCAATAACAGCCTCTGCAATATGAATCATTATTCTCAAACATACTAGGTTTACATATCAATCAAACTGACCACATCATACCATAAAAATAGAAAATTACATTTGTACAAGATTTGGTCAAATGTGGCTGTGAATAGAGGGAACAGTAATTAATGGACTAAGGATAACTCGAGAATAGTAAATCGTATAGTAATATTTCATAGTCACAACAAAGCTTATAATAAAAGGAACATGAATATGAATAGTTAAGTTAAATAGCAGTTATACAATAAGAAATATACATATCACATTGGTCCAAAATAGTTTTCAAAGTTACCATTCATAAATCTCCATGGGATATAACAGTAGCTTCTTAGTGTAATTCATATCAATGTTTACCTTGTTGAATTATCCTAAATTGGCTGATAAAAATACTACAGTAATGATCAGAGTGATTCGATTCGTCATTCCAATGCATCAATTAATTTCTGACATCAAATAAATTTGGGGGATAATTTGATCATATCTATAATAAATCACCATCTACTTGTTCTAAAACCACTTGATTACAGTTCTAAAATGATAAACTTATTTTTAAAGGCAATAGTTTATATTTCATGTTTTCATTGTCGAATGACAGCAAGCATTTTTAGCACGTCAACGGGACGAACAAGACGGAAGAGATTTAATAAACAACTAAACAAACCTTTAAGTGAATGAATAAAGATTACGCAATTAATGAAGATACTAGCAGACAAAGCCAACAGGGTCAACAATATCTCGATTATATGACTAACCCAAAGTACCTAAACCTGGAAGTACTGGACGGCTGTTTCGTCCTATTGTGGAACTCCTCAGCAGGATCGGGGACGCGCACAATAGGACGAAACGGCCGTTCAGTGCTTCCAAGTTTTCCATGGTGGTCTAGCTTCAATTGAATTATGATTTCAATTATAAAAAACTACTAAAATCTCCACAACCCCGCTTCTGAAAAATAGTATCCCTGTAGTACAAGCACACTTGTTAAGTAACACTACAGCTTTTTCACTAATAAATGATTTTAAATCAATTAGTCCCTTTTGTAAATTCCGATAGAGCAACTCCGAAACTAATAAATGACTCTACATATTAATATCAGTAACATTATCCTCATCAGGGCGAAACAACAGGTTACGCCATTGGTAACAGAGTTTATTTAAGGTCATTGGAGTTCATAATAGCATATGGATTACTACAATATTACCACAAATATTGAAGAGGCTACACCAGCTTAAAATTAGTGCATTTTAATAGAAAAAGAAGTACAAAAATAATAAGTTCCAACTGAACTCAATTGATTATCAAAGTATTAACAGTAATTTGAGATGTAATGTTCAGGTTAATATTTTCTTCGGAACTCCTCATGATGTTTTCTTATCAGCTTATGCAAAATACTTTAAAAGATGCGGATAAACAAACATATTCTCACAAGAACATGTTAAGCAATCTAAAGGTTGAAAGCATATTTTGCTGACCACCTCCAGAGACCTGCCAAATAACGTTAAGATAGTAAATCCAAATTGTAGTCAATCACAATACAAATAACATTATTAATTCATTACAAAAAACCCAAAAACGTAAGGATTGGGATTTGAGTCAAGATTTATGTTTAAGGTTCCAAACCTCATAAACTAAGTTTAGTTCTTCATCACTTTCTTAACTCAATTTTTCGGAACTGCTAAACTTCCTCATGTTTTAGTCTTAGAATATTCATCAATTGTAACAGTTTTAGTAGGTAAGTAATGATAGGTTATACTCAATTTTTACTCAGTCCTTAATAAGGCACAAGTTGAGTTACTGATTTTGGAAATTAGTGCAAAACTTCAAAAGCCGTTACTTTTAAATTGATTGGTCTGTCAATAAACTATCATTTTACCAAGTAAGACTGAAATTTCCTGATAGAAAAAATCGCGTGCAGCTAAGTGAGGAATGTCACAGTTGGCTGGGGATAAACTCTACGTTGTCGAGTCATCTAAGTGTATCGGGGTCAGGAACTACCGTTAAATTTTCGTTCATTTAGTTACTAAGTTTTTGACATTTTCAGATACTTTCTATTATGGAATTAATTGAAGGTATGTAATTTTCTTCCATCATGACTGCGTGCGCTTCACTTGACACCTCCATAGCATGATGGATTAGTATTTTCATCGGAGAAAACTTTACATTTTTTCATGTAAGCCAGCAAAAGTGACATATAAAGAAACACCCTCCATAATTGATTACGATAGTGTAAATACTGATTCCAGTTTATTTAGATTGGTTGTCAGGTGAAAAGTCATAAATTTCGAACGAGTGAACGGAAATGCTTGAAAAGAAACGACAATTATTCATACAACCACTAAAATACTTATTTTCGGAAAAAAAGCTCAATCTTAATAAAACGCAGTATCTGATTTATTTATTTATTTAAACACATAAATATTGGTACAAAAGGTCACCAAATACATACGTGCCACTCAAATCTCATTTAATTTGTGTGAGGGATGTGATACTACCCAGGTGCCCAAACTGAATCGGGTGGTTTTCTTAGGGGGCCACACCCAGAGTCTTTGACCTAAAGATCTGATCCACAAGGCAGTGGAGCATCATGAGGAGATGCAGTCTCATGGTAGCCGGTGACCAACTATTGATTCATATTCCTTTCTGTTCCCTCAGGAATACTGAGGCACATGTATACCATTGGTTTGAAATCAGAGTTTTCCAACTCCCCTTAGCGGTCATTCCGTGTCCACCAATCCGGTTAAAGCACTGGACAGCCAAAAACAAAAGGTAAACTATAATTTGAATTTCATTTATTTAAAATTTATATAAAAGTTGTTTTTTTCTTTCTCATTCGTTAGTTTTCTTTCGATAGAAAGTGAAGAAAAAAAAATTGAAATTATAAACAAAGGAAGACTGAATGAACTATATACTCATCATTATAATAAATATGAATAAACAATCAGAGAATTAATATACTATGCAACATCAAAATACACACAGTTGCTAACCATACATGGTATTAGTTTAATAATAATCATTCATCATCAATATATTAGTAGAAAAGAGATAATCACATTTCAAAATAAAAATTAGTTAGAAATAGATGTGTATATTAATAATATAAGAAGAAATCACTGAAAACATTCAGAACCCTAGGTACATATGAATCACCACCTATACCTATACATATATATCTATATATAATTCAAAAGTTAATGTATACAACATTGTGTCATAATGGCTGAGATCACAAAACAGGATAATAATTGTTTAAATCAATTAATTCAACGGAATAGAAATACAACAATAACATCAACAACAACAACAACAACAATCCAGTATTCTATTTAGTTTGTTCCATTAAATGTGTTAAACACTTAGTTAAATGATGTAGATATACTTTTTTTGTATCTTCAGCTGAATAATCATATACTGAATCAAGAAATTCTTTTGAACTTATTATATTAAATAAATATTTAATACGTTCAATAGATTTTAAACTTAAATATGGTTTAACCGCATGGCATATAATCTCTTTACAATCATCTAATTGTTCTTTAATAAAATTATAATTATATGTATAATCTGTTTGTGCAAAACTAATTATAGTAAGACCAATTGTACGACTTTTATATTTTATTTCATTAATATTAGTATAATCTTCTTCAGTTAAATTTTGTTGTTTTGATATAACACCAATTTTTCCAATAGTTTTAATTAAATGCTTATATAATTGTTTAACATCTTTTTCTGGTTTTATATGTAATTTCATTAAAGTACGTAATGATTTCAATGATTCATATGCTCTTTTACCAATAATTGATTTAATAGATTGATCATTTTGTAAAACACGGCCAACAATACGTTTTTGTGCACGAAACCATACAGATTGTGAATTTTTTCGATCTAAATTATTATTATTTAACTTGATTTCATCATCAGAACTTAAACTGATTTCATCGTCATCATCATCATTTTCATCTTCATCATCATCTTTGTCTAGATGACCATTATTACATGAATTATCCAAAGTATATTTTCCAATAGGCGTCACCATAACTTTTGAATAAGAATAAAAAGTCAATCAGAATGAATAAATCAGAGGGGGTTTTGTACAGAATTTAGTATTTTTCATAGTTGAAATCATGAGTCAATTGAAACTAGACCACCATGGAAAACCTAGAAGCACTGGACGGCCGTTTTGTCCTATTATGGGACTCCTTAGCAGTGCACATCCACGATCCCGCACACGCGAGATTCGAATTCAGGACGTACCAGTCTCGCGCCAGAACACTTATAGATTGGTTTATGAATCATATACAATTACTGGTCAAACATCTGCACATAATGCAATCTGTCTTAATTAGACGTTTGACAATTACTCAACCAACATATGCCTTAAACCGTTGGATGCCGGCTTAGTGGTCTATCGGCTAACAGTTCTGGCTCGAGACTGGTAGGTCCTGGGTTCGAATCTCGCGAGTACGGGATCGTGGATGAGCACTGTTTACGAGTCCCATAATATGACGAAATGGCCGTCCAGTGCTTCCAGGTTTTCGATGGTGGTCTAGCTTCAATTGACCCATGATTTAAACAGAATGAATAAGTCAACTGAATTAAAAAATCTTGAAGTAGTTGTTTAACAGTTAACTTAATGAAACTTGAAAAGGAATTTTTTGTTGGTCTAGAAAATAAAATGATAAATTAAATTAATTGGAATAGCAAAATTTCTACGGACACAATTCATTTAGGCAGTAAAATCACAATATATATATATATATATATATATATATATAATTATGAGAAAACTCCCCCTGTAGCTCTCCTAGGAGAGAACAAAGAAAGAGGATTGGGCATAGAGTCAGCAATACCATTCTGCAGAAAACAACCTTGCTAAAATATCACTAGCCAAAATAAACAAATTAAACCATCTAAACTCTGACCAAATAGTTCAACGATCTTCATTCAAAAGAATTATGGCACCTTATGATGAAAGCCGAGATTCTTGCAAGGTCTCAAGGCAGATGCCCCTTTTAACAACCACAGCAACAATTATTATAGGTACGTGAAATTTCCGGACAATGTGAAAGACCGGAATGACCAGTTAAATAGCTGCAGAAATGTGGAGATACAAATTGGCCCTGCTCGGAATCAGTGAAACCCACTGGACACAAGCTGGATAGCAAAGGTGCTGTGCTCTGGTCACGAAGAGGAAAATGTTCCACACACTGAGGGAGTTGCTCTGATGTTGTACAGAGAAGCACGAAATGCACTTGTAGGATGGGAATCTCATGGATCCAGAATCATCAAAGCATCTTTCAAAACGAAGAGAGAAGAAATCACAATGAATGTTATCCAATGCTACGCGTCCATCAATGACAGTTAAGACGACGATAAACATCAGTTCTACAAGAAACTGGAATCGGTCAAAGTGAAGTGTTCAGGAAAGGACCTGACCATCCAGGTGAGAGATCTGGACGCCGAAGTCGGAATGGACAACACCGGATATGAGACGACATGCACTGACCGAGGGAGAGAAATGGAAATGGGAGAGATTTTCAAACCTATGTGCTTTAAGCAAATTGGTTATAGACGGCACAATATTCCAACACAAACGCATACATAAAGCTATATGGATCTCACTGGATCACACCACAGTGAACCAGATAGACCATATTTCTATTAATAAAAAATTCCGAAGGACAATGGAAGACGTGATAATTAGAAGAGGTGCTGACAAATATGAAACTGAAGCTGGACAGCTAGGGAAACAATAGTACAAAGGCTCAATACAGGCTTCCTACGGGATACTAACAAACTCAACCAATTCAAGATAACTTACAACAACAGGTTCCAAGCCTTATAGGATCTACTGAAAGAACAAGAAACTGCTATGGAGGACACTTGCAAATGGATCAAAGAAGCACTAACGTCAACGTGTCGGGAGGTGCTGGGCCGCAAGAAGCATCGTAATAAGGAATGGGTCTTTTTCGAAACCTTAGACAAGATTAGAGAAAGGAAGAACAAGAAGACAGCAATCAACAACAGTCGAATAAGAGCAGAGAAAGTCAAGGCATAGGTCGAATATACAGAAAAAAACAAGCAAGTGAAGAAGAGCATTAGAGCCTGCAAACGGAAATACGTGGAAGGCCTAGCAACGACAGCTGAAAAAGATGCAAGAGAAAGAAATGTAAAAAAAACTATATGGCGCAACGAAGAAACTAGCGGGGAAATATAGTCAACTAAAGAGATTGGTCAAGGACAAAGAAGGCGAGTCAATCACCGCTATTCAAGGACAGAGGAACAGATGTTTAGAATAATTCGAAGAACTGCTGAATAGGCCAGCTCCAATGAATACACCAGACAACGAAGCAGCATACACAGGCATTCCTATAGATGTCACTCCACCAGCTATCAATCAGGGTGACCTTCAGACAAATCAAGAGAGGTAAAGCATCTGGACCTGACAACACATTAGGTGGAGCACTGAAGTCACTGACAGTGGTAACTGAAATGATGCTTCATGTTCTATTCACGAAGTTTTGGGAGAAAGAACAAGTGCATTATACTACTTTCAGCACCAAGAAAGGTTTTCAACAATGTTGCTGGACTGGATGAAAGATTCACGAGGCAAGCAATAACATAGAATCCTGAAGGGTGAAGGAGAACAAGAAGACAAAAGAACATACTGAGTCAGGAATTGGAAGCAGACATGAAAAGGATGGATAGAAACTGGAAAAGTCTGGGAAGGATAGTCCAGGGCAGAGTTGGATGGAGAATGCTGGTAGGCGACCTGTGTTCCTCTGTGAGAGGTAACAGGAGTAAGTTATGCAAAACTGTTCACGGAGTTTTGGGATAAAAAGATTTATAAATATATCCACTTTTTTGTCGAAGAGACCTTACTCTGAAAATAATAACTAGAAGAAGTTATCAGGTCATAGTTAAGTTATATAAGAATCTTGAATATACTCTGTGTACTTTCTTACATTACGAATTGAATTTGTTAATTAAAATTAGACTCGGAAAACGTACAAAATGACTGGGGGTCGGAAAATGAAAACCATTAAGTTCTGACAAACTAGTGGAATAATATCACATGACAGTATAGGGTTAACGAGATCTCTGAATTTCACTGATATCATGTATTGGCCTAAGTTAAACAATCTTTAAAACCTGAAAGCATTGGACAGTCGTTTCGTCCCAGTACTTCCGAATTCCTCATAATTTAAGCTTTCTGTAGTAGTTCCAATCGAAAGTTCACAAACGTGAACCCATATTGAAATTGATGTTGAGATCTTACCCCAATTACATCTATAAATTGTTCTTTGAATGAAAATGTCAAAACCACCCATCACCATAGCTTCTCAAAGTCAATTCGTCCAACTTGAGTCATGTTTAGAATAACGTAAGATTTTTTAGATCATGATTTTTCTTGTTATGCAAATCCTTAGGGTCAAATGATTTTTATAAACAATTCAAATGATAAAGATTCGCTGCTATTAGTAGTGAACTGAGATTTGAGTAATTCATAAGTATTTAGCAACAAGAGATGATAAACTTCATTCACAAATCTATAAGTTAGCAATAGAGGATTGGTTTTCGTTATCAACACTAGTGTTTAAAGCACGTCTTTGCATAAAGTGTCTAAAATACCTGTTGTATATTAAAATGATCGGGAAGGAAAATAAGAATATGAGAAATTTGACTCCACGTAAACTATATATAAATTGATTTTTCTTAGAAGTCTAAGCTTATATGTAGATCAGCCATTCATAATTCACAGAGGGTTTGATGCATGCGATAATTGTATTTAAAATCATGTGTTGCATTATGACAAGTGCAAGCAAAGGAAAAATCGCATTTACGTGGATCATAAAATCAGAAACCCAACAAGCAAAAACGTGTCTCAAACAATATAAACTTTGTCAGCATCCATGCATAATTGTTGTTATTTAGACAGATAAATTAACAATGAATAAGAAGTAGCTTCTGTATCTCAAAAGCCTCATCTAAAACATCGGGTTGCAATTGTGTTCCCGAACTAATGGACCGGGTTATTAAATATTTAGACAATAAGGTCCTTCATAGTAATCTATCAGATCGGTTAAGTTCGAATGATGCAGCATTACACTGGGGAGATCTAATATGTTCAAATGAATACTCACATTTCTGCGTCATGAAACACCAAGGCATACAAATTGACTTAAAACCCCTAGAACGTTTTTATTTGAGAACGCAACTTTTGGTGATTTTTAAGGATACCAAAAGCCGGGTTTAAATAATCAACCAAGAACCTGTGCAGTTTTTTGCAATATACCTATCATAGAACAATAGTAAGTAACATAAACGCAACAAGTATTCAATCTTTGTTACGGTTTAATATCCGGTTGATTCCTTCGCCTTGCATGTGTACACGATGATACGGTTCCAAAACTTTGCTATCATTCAATGCAAGCAGTTCATCTACTCTGCTGAACTAATATAAGTGAAATTATTAGTTAAATAGGAACTAATATTTCTTAAATATACCTAAGTGCGTTGTTAGAATAATTAATGACAAGAATATGATTGTAATACACTTGGAATTTTATAAAAATTCAAGTCATTATATCAATAAGGATACAAAGAGTGAGATCTAGTCAATATAAAAATGACCTCGGCATAGCTTACGTAAAAACGTGAACAAGTAAAAAAAGTTGTAATGAACCAACCTGCAACAATTTGTCAGTTGCCGTAATTAAACAATTTTTATTGTACACTAGGTAACATATTTCTTCAAGTCCTCATCGATTTCAAAACACAAATTTCATTTTTTTATAGCCTCAGCGTTAATTATTTCAATATTCTTTGGGTTGTTTGAGGCGTGACTGCAGACTCCAACGGTTTAAATGTTTGTGAAATGAGTAGAAGAAAGTATCTCATAACGTGCTCCCTTATCTAGTACCCATGGATCATCGATGCCTCCAGGTTGAAATCTAGGTGTTATTAACTGCCAAAAAAGAAGTATTAGTGAGTAATAATGAAATACCATCCAGAGTCCTTTAAAATATATCAAGCTTGTTCTTCAAGGACTCCTGAGTAGTCACTTAGATATGACTGCTAGTAATGTGCAGAAGGTTTACATACAGTCTTGGTAATTTAAATTCGTGCTAATAGGATTTTAATTTATTTTCACGAACTGACGGGTACGCTCCAGCGATGTATATCCTTTGTGCAATGAACAACTGTGTTCTGTACTCTAAATAGGACTGAAAGAAATCTATTCAAATGGTTCAAAATTTTGTTGGCGGAATAGAAGGAGATATCGCTCTGCAAGCTTCCATACCCAATAATGGTTGATCACCGATACATCTAGGTCAGAAGCTTCGAGATGGAGAACTACAATAACTAGTTGGAACACCCGTTGTTACACTTGTCCACATTGGATTCCGAAGTGTTGAAAGCAAACGCGTTCTTATCCATTCTTTATGAAGTCCTGTAAGACCCTCTCGAGTTGTCAACTTATCATCCTGTCTGAAAACTTCTCTTCAGGGTCTAATGTCGTCGCTGTAAACTTTGGACTACAAATATTGTTTGGGAGGACTAGTAAGCTTATCTTTCCTGCTAACTTGTCTCAGGGTGGTAAGAGAAATTTATTGATAGGGAGGTTTGATTCCTTATATTTGGCTTTCAATGTTGACCTGTAAATTAGTTCATTTAGTAATCTCAGCAGTGATGATGAATTAATACTAAAATAATCACCCTCAATACTAAAGTAATTTTAGCAAATGTCTAACTTTTTTTGGGAGACCACACGGAAATTGCCATTACTATAGAATTGATTAAGGAGCTCCATAAGTCAGCGATTTCAATCTTGAATTTTTGTCACTGGTTTTTGTGCGAGCCGATTCATGTCTAAATCTGAAACTTTAACTCATGAAGGTGCTAGTACATGATCTACTTATCGACATAAATTACTGATAATCTCGTAAGCATTATTCAGCAAAGGTACACGGAAAATCAGATAGTATAGAAAAACACCAGTTATATTTGATGGATTTCATGAAAATTAGTAATCATTACGCAGCTTAATGAAGAAGAAGGTATGTACCACACTGAGTACACAAGATTAGGATTACCTTACAGCACGCAACTATGAATTAAGTTGTTAATCAATGAGCTTAGAAATTTCAATTAATTTGCCTCTATTTCAACATATCTTAACTACCTAACTTTTCTCTTTTCTCTGTCTCATATATCTTGGATTACACATGTGCTACAAAGCCAAATTGTTGATCAAACAACTTCTTGCTGCTTGATAAAGAACCGCTTCGTACCTCAGATTCCCAAATACCATTATACAGAATGATCCCGAAATTTGGAGTGAGTTACTAAATTCAGTTTCATATCTTGGGATTTCACGAAAACGTCAATGCAACATACGACTAAAGTGTCACAAAACACCTTTCTCTCGATACCAGAACATTTACTATGCCAACGGGGAATACTAGTGTAGCATTCATTACATATCACACCTTCCGACACAGAAAAGAATGTAGACATAACTTTACACCATACCTGATGTATCACCTTGTTCTAAGAAGAAGGCGTGTGCAATTCACTGTCAACCATTAGCGCGAATATAATTATTTTAACTATAAATCCGTTTTCACTCAGACCTTTTTCTTGTCTGTTTACTACATACAATCTGAACATTTCTCGTTACATATGGTTTTAGTCGGTACTACGGAAATTTTGTCTTGGAAAGCTGAAATTTGAAGGCTTGTTATGAAAATTGTTAAATTTATTGACACAACCATACATCTGGGTTAAATGCTCGTAATTTACAAGCAGGTCCTTGGTACCATAGTCATTATACGGTTTTCTTGTTACTTGAGTCGTAAGTTGAGAGTATATCGATCAATCATGCTTCCAGAACTAACCGGAAAAGAAATTGTACGTACCACCTATTCTTCGACAATAAATATTACAGAGTATTTTTTTCAAAATTTCGGGTATATTGAGACGATCATGGTGTTCGCTTGTAATCTTCCTTGAAAAATCCCTTTACCTGCACCTTCCTACTTTTTGAATGATATAGATTTCATTTTACAAATACGTGGAAACCTAAACAATGTACTTCAACTAAAAGGTAAAGACTTTTATGACCATCAGTTTTCAAATCTTTTAACTCTTCGGAATAAAATAAATAATAAGGTTGCTCTTTTGGACTGATTGACTTACTTACATACGCCTGTTACACCTCGTCTAGGAACATAGGCCACCTCATAGCATTATCCATCGAACCTTGTCCCAAACAATCCTTTCCAGTTCTGTCCAGTTAACATTCAGCCTCTCCATATATGCTTCTATTTCTCGACGTAACGTGTTCCTTGGACTTCCTCTTTTCCGTTTCCCTTCAGGACTTCTAAGTTGGGGATTGCGTCGTGATGTACTTCGGTGATTTCATTTATTTATGTTCGATCAACTTCCAATGTCTTTTCCTAATTTCCTCTTCAGCTGGAAGCCGGTTTATTTACTCTCACAGAAGGCTGTTGATGATGATATCCGACCAGTGAATGTTGAGTATTTTGTGTAGACAACTGTTTATAAATACTTGTACCTTCTTGACGATGGTTGTAGTAGTTCTCCTTGTTTCAGCTGCGTAAAGTAGAACCGACTGTACTGTGGTTCGTATTGAAGATTCTCACTTTGGAATCAGTTGACAGTTGTTTTGGGTTCCATATGTTCTTCAATTGTAGAAATGCTGCCCATGCTTTGCCAATCCTCGCCTTTACATCTGCATCCGATCCTCCTTGTTTATCAACGATGCTCCCCAGGTACGTGAATGTTTCCACCTCTTCCAGAGTTTCTCCATCAAGTGTGATTGGGTTGGTGTTCTCCGTGTTGTATTTGAGATTCTTGCTTTTTCCTTTGTGAATGTGGAGGCCTATCGATGCGGAGGCTGCTGCTACATTTGCGGTCTTCATCTGCATTTGTTCTTGTGTATGAGAGAGGAGGGCTAGGTCATCTGTGAAGTCCAAATCATCTAATTGATTTTAAGATGCCCATTGTATTCCGTGCTCCCTCTCAGGCGTCGAAGTCTTCATATTCCAGTAAATCACCAGAAGAAAGATGTAGGTGGAGAATAGACACCCTTGTCTGACTCCGGTTCTTACTGGGAATGCATCTGTCAGCTGTCCTTCATAAACCCCTTGCACTGTAGTCCGTCGTATGAATTGCGGATGATGTTGACTATCTTCTCAGGTACTCACTTCATTGTATGGAAGACGTTTCCATAATGTTCTCCTGTTCCACACTGTCAAACGCCTTCCCATAGTGAATGAAGTTGATGTATAGTGATGAGTTCCACTCAACTGATTGTTCCGCGATGATCCGTAATAATAATAATAATAATAATAATAATAATAATTTATTCTCAAATAACAGATTGTTACATGAGGCATGCCGGTTTACAGGCAAGATCAAATTGTTAAAGAAGTTACAATTTTCACTGTTGAAAATTACTCAGCTGGGTTGATATTTCATAAGATATGAATGTAAATGGATTTCGTAAGAAATTTGATCTGTGCATGGTCGATATTTACGGAATCGAGCCTTCTGATCTCGTAGTTGGGTGTCCAATGCGTCTTTCATCCGGTCCAGTAACACGTATGATGAGTTGCATGAGCAATGCCAAAGCATATACTCGTGTATAGACAATCGAGATTATTAAGCGAATAACTGACAAAGCCAAAATGTGACTCAAAAAAAATGAATAGATTTGTCGACTCAGGAGCTAGAATAACTTGTGTGGGCTTGACATAGTACTAGACACTACAAAACCATACCCAAAGAATGCCATATGTTTGATAGAAAAGTCCTGATGTTACAAGCAAATGAAGTTTAGGAGTAGATATGTAGAATTATGACCTACCTCTGTTTTGGTACATTCATCTCTGTTTCTTTTGTAATCAACCTGATCCTAGGATCGTAGGTTTATCATGATGTAACTACTTAATCTACATGTTCTTATGTGGAAGTTACATCATTGCCTACACTGACTCGTCGTACTGTGACCATCAGCAATTTGACGTTTAGCATTCTCAAGAACACATTTGGGATAGAATAATATATTTAGTTTGAATAGTGATGAGTTACATGTAATGACCGCTTCTGTAAGGCACTCGGCCTGTAGTCGCGATAAGATGCAATACATAGCTGGCTACACAAAAGTTGCGGCCGTATCTTGCATAGTTCAGGGTACTTGTTGATTATCGGTTGGAATTGCTGATCGATTACATTAATAAAAGTAACCAGTCGCGATCTTCAACCAGAAAGTGTAACCAAATAAAGAAAACCAAATATTTCCTCTAACTAACCTCCGTTTGCTTGGGTCATATAGTAGGTCTTGATGTTTTAGGAGTTTTACGCTAATTATTTGCATTAGATCTGCGCAAACGCACGTCAAGGTAGACATACTAATAGTCAGGAATGGAGTCTGAGGGTATATTTAGGAGATAGTCGGTGTATCAGGAAGTATATAAAGTAGGGTTACTATTTATTTTAAGAAATTTTCAGCATTTTCAACCCAAATGTGGATCGCTGACTGGGAGCATTCAGTGTAAAGTGAGATCCATAAACGAACCCAATGACAAAGTGAGACGCTCACCACCACATTAACGTTCTTTGACCTTCTATGACTATGCCTTGTTTATCCACCAATCACAATTGTATGCTCATTGTAAAAGAATATTCGCCTTGTTGACCCACCTTTCCTATCCTCTAGTTACTGTTAGGTATGTTATTTATGTCTCTCCTTTTCCTTATGTAATAGACCGTACTGTTTATTTGTAAACTAACGTTTATTAAGTCAAACAGACTACTTGACTTTGGTGAAACCAAGACTCTGTGCTCGACCGTCAAGAGAAAAGCTTAGAGTTGCACCTGTAAGGAATCGAACGATTTAAACATCAATGTCGAAGGTGGACTGAAAATTTTATACTTTATGACAAAAGTTGGATCAGGCCTGTCTGGATTATTACGCAATACAAAACACATAACTGATAGAATTATCGAAGCAGATAACACCAAGAAATCCCTCAATATAGTTATCGTTTCGACAGTTCAGTATATGATGAAAATCATTGCTGTTACAGTGGAGTCCTGATACACACAGTAAACTGCTGAAAGTGTAGACACTGCAGAGTAGTTTCAAATATCCATCGAAGTCCAACATTAACTATGCACTAGTCTCCAATGGTCCTAGAACATTTGATGATGAGAGTAGTGAAAACTTATTGTAGTTAATTGAAATGGCATATTGTAATAAAAATATCGGGAATTGTTTCGTTACAGTGCAATGATCAGAAAGACAATTTAGTAAAGATATATGTTTATTAACAAATAGACATAATGGTAAGGCGAAATTTACATGGTCAAAAATGAGCGTAAAATTCATATACAAAAAACAAATAATAGGTACAGTGTGTTAAACAGATAAACTACCTTCTCGAAAGCTACTTGCAGCGATAAGACAATTTACAACAGATGGTATCCCTTTACTTGAAAGTCGCTTAACCTCATCAAATATATGAACTATTTGTTCCAACTGGGGTTTGTCAACTAAAAAACCATTAACCGGATTGCTATTATTAGTTATTAGATTTCCCGATACAGGAGCAACACTTCTACAGTAAGCTGATCCAACTACTTCATACGGTGTGTAGTTTAACTGGCATCCAACTTTGGATTGAAAAAACGTGACTTGGTCACGTGCAATCTGTGACCAACAAGCGTCATTACCAATTACAGCAATAGCAGGAGCATGATGACGTGATAAAGAATCCCATTCAACTAAACTATATCCTGCTGAACCATCACCATAAATAACCCAGACAGTAGCCTATATGGGAAAAAAGTAAACAAAAATTGAGTCTTTGATAATGAACAACTCTTAAAAATAGAATTATGCACTATTAAGTTGTTATTGGAACATAGACATGGAAAAATTAAGAGGGGCACGATTATAAAGTGATTGGTGAGTCCTTAGGTTATGAAACAGGGATATATAAAATTATATTTCGTTTTGGCTCTTCGGATTTTCTAAAGTTTGCTGTGGTAGATTTTGTTGTAGATTTACTTGAGAAGATCTATGTGATGGGGAGGTGGGAGGGATGCTTTACTCAACTCATTTGTTAGTGCCGCTTATCTGAGTACATGGAAATTCATTGATGCTCTAAAAAAGAACAGTCACGATTAACTAAAAATAAAGCGGTTTTTCAAGAATTCAGGAGCAATATGGAAAAAAAATACAAGGAGGTAGAAATAAGCACCAAACTAATTGTACACTGTAGAAACAGATAGACACTAGACTATTAACGCGGAATACTACATAATTTGGGCTTGTACAGTTAGCTGCATAAAACTATTATATAAAGTGAAAAATGAAAATTATGTTTACATCTATACGACATCATCAAATAACAATTTTGAAGCTAATTCTTGAGGGTTATATTTACTCAGTTAATATATTAGAAGAGTTAATTTTATTATCTTATTGAAGAGACATTTTAATGTCTTAAGCGATTTGCCTTCATCAATGCCTATTTTTAGATCCATCGACAAGCCCTTTTTGGTTCTGATTTTATTGAAGGATACTATGATAACAGACATTATTAGTTGTAGATATTTCATCAAGAACCGTTGCTATACCCTAGCACGGTTAATCAGTTAGCCATAATTAACACAATTTCCCTTCTGGTATATAATAAGCTTAGACATCTCAAGTTCATACATCACTGTTTACGTTAAAGCAGATTTTTGCTTACGACCATTATCATCTTCTTTGTTTGTGTTCAGGATATCGTTATCGAGGTATATGATTACCGGAATTTCTCGATTCTGTCGTATCTGAAGTATCTTCAAATGTTTATAATTATAATGATCAACTTCTTACACGCAACAACTCATGTAGTTGATAATTAAACGTCATAAATTTCAAGTCGTAGTACCTTATGACTGAAATACTAGAATAAAAAAACAACATTATCAATAAGAAGACAGGAATTTATTGTTGAAAGTTGTACGGAATATCTGCAATTACTATAAATTTTTATAAATAGTTCTTCAAGTGGAAATATATACATTCATTTTAAGGATGATCTTTTTAGTTCGTTAGTTAAAATTCTTATAATATGCTGAACTGACCTGTTGTAAGAGGAACAAAATCAGTAAGAATAAAAAGAAAAAAATCTGTTTTGTTTTATAGCTGAAAGAAATAATCTTATAACTCAGTAAAACTCTAAAAATGTGTTTGGAGTATAGGAGAAATGCAGCTGTCATATGTTTAAACCAAAATTATTCGTTTTATCCATATGTACTCTCTATTAAATGATTCGTAGAGACTTACATTTGGGCGGCATAGTTTAGCACCTAATGCAAATCCTCCACCAACACCTAACGTTCCAAACGGTCCTGGATCTAACCAAGATAACGGTTGTCTTGGACGTACAATATATGATGCTGATCCTACAAAATCTCCACCATCAGCAATTATAATACTATCTTCAGACGAATCAGTTGGTAGACCATAATGTTCCAACTTCCAAAGAACGGAAAGTGGATTGTTATGTCCAACACCTTCTACTTGACAGCTTAGTCTGAAAGGAAAATATAAAAGATAGGAATACTGAAATTATCATTGATTATATTGAAATTTCCAACACTTAGATCAGAATTTTCAATACAAATGTCAAGACAATTCTACTGTATATAACAGAAACTTGGAGCACTACGAAAGCCATCATTCAGAAGATACAGATGTTTATTAACAGTTGTCTATGCAAAATACTTCGGATCCGTTGGCCAGGCACTATGAGCAACATTCTACTGTGGGAGAGAAGAAATCAGGAAGAAGCGCTGGAAGTGGATAGGTCATACATTGAGGAAATCACCCAACTGCGTCACAAGGCAAGCCCTCACATGGAATCCTCAATGCCAAAGGAAAAGAGGAAGACCAAAGAACACATTACACCGAGAAATGAAGACAGATATGAAAAGAATGAATAAAAGTTGGATACAACTAGAGAGGAAGGCTCAGGACAGAGTGCATTGGAAAATGCTGTTCGGCAGTCTATACTTTATTGAGGGTAATAGGCGTTAGTAAAGTAAGTAAGTTAATGTGTTATGTGATTAGATGTGTTTAGTAAAAAACTCTGGACATAAATTAGCAAGAACCATAAGTTCAGAGTGCCTTATCGACTACTTTCAATCACCTAGTACAAAGAACTTTTGAAAATCCATCCAAAAGATTTCCAGTCCTGTAAGCAGTTTGGGTTAAAAGAAGTTCTGAAGGGTATAGAACATTCATTTGTTACGTAATAGAAGTATTCTGCTTACTGCGTTAACTTTAGCCGATAAATTACAAAGTTTATCGTTTTTAACCAATAGAAACTATCCAGATCAACTGTTACATATTTAAAATTTTAAATCGAATTGATTTAGATGACTTTTGTCATCAGAATTGCATCACACATTTTTTTGGTTAACATACTTTCATAAGTCCGTATTCTTAATCAGATCATAAAAAAATGCAATTGCTGAATTTTATCAATTAAGTTAGCTGATAGTATCTTCATGTACATCCGAGAAGAATCTCTATAATTAGTATATTCCAGTCAGAAACCCCGTCATTTAGAGAAAAACTTCAGTCATATTGTTGGTTTCAATGATTTTAACACTCCGTTTCTTTGTATTAAGCTTGAAAATATTTACTTTACTTACGCTTATTACCCTCAATAAAGTATAGACTGCCGAACAGCATTTTCCAATGCACTCTGTCCTGAGCCTTCCTCTCTAGTTGTATCCAACTTTTATTCATTCTTTTCATATCTGTCTTCATTTCTCGGTGTAATGTGTTCTTTGGTCTTCCTCTTTTCCTTTGGCATTGAGGATTCCATGTGAGGGCTTGCCTTGTGACGCAGTTGGGTGATTTCCTCAATGTATGACCTATCCACTTCCAGCGCTTCTTCCTGATTTCTTCTCTCCCACAGTAGAATGTTGCTCATAGTGCCTGGCCAACGGATCCGAAGTATTTTGCATAGACAACTGTTAATAAACATCTGTATCTTCTGAATGATGGCTTTCGTAGTGCTCCAAGTTTCTGTTATATACAGTAGAATTGTCTTGACATTTGTATTGAAAATTCTGATCTTGGTGTTGGTTGACAGTTGTTGGGAGTTCCAGATGTTCTTTAGTTGTAAATATGCTGCTCTTACTTTGCCGATCCGCGCCTTCACATCTGCATCAGATTCACCGTGTTCATCAATGATGCTGCCCAGATATGTAAAGGTTTTCACATTCTTTAAAGCTTCACCATCAAGCGTGATTTGATTGGTGCACGCTGTGTTGTATCGAAGAATCACGCTTTTCTCTTTGCGTATATTTAGACCTACTGCTGCTGAGGCTGTTGCTACACTGGTTCTCTTCTTTTGAATTTGCTGTTGCGCGTGCGATAGAATAGATAGATCATCTGAGAATTCCAGATCGTCCAACTGCATCCTAGCTGTTCATTTTATCCATGCTTACCGCCAGATGTTGACGTCTTCGTAATCTAGTCGACCACCAGGAAAAAGAGAAAGGGGTTAGAGTAAGAAACCTTGCCTGACACCGGTCTTTACCTCGAATGAGTCGGTGAGTTGTCCTCCATGGATGGTGTGGCAGTTTAATCCATCATAGGAATTCAGTATGATATTGACTATCTTCTCAGGCACGCCGTAGTGTCGGAGAGGCCTCCATAGTGTTGTCCTGTCCACACTATCAAATGATTTCTCGTAGTTAATGAAGCTTATGTAAAGTGACGAGTCCCATCCGATTAACTGTTCCATAATGATCCGTAGTGCTGCGGTGACATGTTGAAGTGATTGTCTCCTTGATCCCTTTACAGTTGTTCTCCATAGTAGTTCCCTCTCCAATGAGTAGATCGTGAAGGGCCGGGGATCTATTGTTGAGGGCTATCTTGAATTTGTTGAGTTTGTTAGTATCCCGAAGAAAGGCCGTATTAAACTTTTGTGATGTTGTCCAGTGCTTCTTGAGTTTCAGTTTCGTCCTGGCGACCAGCAAGTGATGATCCGAGGCTATATCAGCTCCTCTCTTGCTTCTCACGTCCTCCTGAACTCTTTATTGATGCAGATATGGTCGATTTGCTTCTGTGTAGTGTGATCTGGTGAAATCCATGTGGCACCTAACATATACTTAATAGGACATAACATGTCAGGTCACTTAGACTACAGGGAAAATTGTGACTTGACAGATAGAATCCAATCGCATTGGAGGACTTAAAGAGAAACACAACGTTCGTTATTAGTGCTGAGTGATCAATCATTAGTTGCAAAAATCTCGTTATCCTGCTATCATAGCCAAGAAAATTATTCTAGTGAATTTTTAGGATTAACAGTGTTAAGCAAAGATGGACAGTATGCACATATGCCAATCAGAGACTGACCAGTTGCAGTCCTAACACATCGATGGGAAGATTCAAACAAACAATACTAAGTGAATTTAACAGTGTTAAGTTATCAAAAAAGTCATACAGTTCAAACTCTTCTTAATTCCTCAAGATTAAGGCCGATCGGTAAATATTGTTAATTTATATCAATCAGATGTAATTTATATCGCATAACAATAACTTAAACCTCTTCATCAACTTATATGATTTTGCTAAACTATTTCCTTAACAAAATGACAAACAAAGAGGAACTATCAATCAAAGGATAAAAACTCGTTAGTTGAATTAACCATACATTTTTACAAGAATAAATAATGAGAATAACCTACTTAATCTCTTCATCATGTTTCATTTCACGTGATTTTAAAATATTTAACCATTCGATGGAACAATTTAATTCATTAGTACCATTTTGTAGTTGAAGTGATAAATCTTTTAGGGTTGTCCCAACATCAGCTTGAATTGTTAGATATGGTCTCCAAAAATAGTCAGCATTCTATATTGAAATATTGAAAAATAAAGACGAATATTAAATGGACAAGAGATGACAAAATTATTTATTTATGTAGTTTCATCTGCTGCTCACATATAAAGGTAGACTTATTAGATTGGTCGTCTAATACTAACATGGTTTAGACACTAGTATTGAAGTGTGTAGCGGAGGCTCAATGGTTAAGGTGTTTGACTTCCCGCCGATAAGTCGCATATTTGAAGTCCCTACATTTACTTCAGTTCAGAGGACTGAGTGGAAATACTAGCCCTTAGAATTATACTGTAGTTTGAAGACATGTACACGAATTTCTACCTAGCAAATGAGTATTTATTAGGATGTAAACTAACAGCTTGTACAATTAATTAGTTACTATCAAACACTGTCTTATAAAACCTTTAAAGGTAATCATGATTGAGATAAGCGGAAATTTCTTAGTTCATGTATGAAAGGCTAATCATGATGTAGGTAGTTTCATGGCTGAGATTATTGCAACAAATCATGTGAACTTAAGTCGAAAAGATCAATAATGCTTCTAATAGAAGTTTATCTTCAACTGAACACCTTTAAGGTCAGTTGTGTTCGTAAACACCACATTTCTTAATCAATAGAAGGTACATAATAGTATTTTAATAAGTATTTGATGACACCTTGTTTTGTCAAAAAATAGTAATCGAGAAGAGTAACACTAACCATTGTAGTGTTTTTTTGCTAATGTTACTTGACATAACTACAGATAGCAAACTTTGCATAAAGCACTTAACAAACATTAATAGCTATAATTAGAATAGATTTACAGTAGGAATTTTTCCATAATAGATGGAAAATGGCTATCAGTGGAATCCGAGATTTTATATTTTGGATTCTTCAACTGGATGTACCTTCATGCCAGTGTGTTGGTGTTTACATAGAAACTCGGACACAATAGGTTTTGCTTCAAATGCCTAACACATTACCCACTGTAATCCAGTAGGTCCAGATAGTTACATGAACATGTTTGATTGGTATGATACTTCTATCATTTATAGTAAGGGGTTCGAATTATCCCATCGTTGACTGAATTTTGACCAGTCTTCGTTGAATAATTCAAACTCACTATTAACAATGATTTACGAACAAAATTGTTAAACTGTTCGAAAAGTCAGGAAATGAGCAGTGTAGAAAAAAGATTGTAAAGGATTCCACACATTGCTGTGTTATAATACAAGAAATATAACTTTATTGTCCAAAAATATTATCATAGTTGAAATCATGAGTCAATTGAAGCTAGACCACCATGGAAAACCTGGAAGCACTGGACGGCTGTTTCGTCCTATTATAGGACTCCTCGGCAGTGCGCATCTACGACCCCTTCTGATTTATAATCATATGCTTACTAGTGACTGACTGTAAGGAATGTTTCCTTGAGTTCTAGTGGGCAGCAGTGACCAGTCTGTTGTAGAGATAATTCACTGAAGATAAATGGTGAACGCTTGCTCAACTTCGTGGATCAGTTTAACAATAACACCGTTGGATATCGGCTCAGTGGTCTATCGGTTAAGTGCTCCGACGCGAAGCTGGTAGGTCCTGGGTTCCAATATCGCGGGTGAGGGATCGTGGATGCGCACTGCTGAGGAGTCCCATAATAGGATGAAACGGCCGTCCAGTGCTTTCAGGTTTTCCATGGTGGTCTAGCTTCAATTGACTCATGATTTCAACTATGAAAATACTGAAATATTCACAAAAACCCCTTCGAAAAAGATATTAACAAAAAACAAACAATAAATTTACAAGATATAAATTTTTCTTATTTCGATTAATTACAATAATTTTCGCTTTTCGATTTAACACACGACCATAATCTAAACGAAAATCACAAATGGCACCTTGGAAACAAAAAAGAAACAATAGATTGAAGAAAATAAATTGATAAAATACTTTATGAAAGTAGAAGAAACTCAACTAGAAAACGCATACGATGGAGGCAACTATTTGAAGGTATGGTTAAAAGAGAAATCGTTTATCATTGGAACAGTAGCATTTTAATTTAGAAAGCTAATCAGACAAATAGACTAGCACGTATATCAGTATCTGTAGTCAGCGTTAAGATACATTTTCGTGTAAGGGCTAGTGTAACTACTGACCGGACTGTCCAAACTCGTTAAATACGATGTGGAACTTTGGGGACTATTCTACGGTATATATACATTTTCTTTTCTAGCCCCGTGAAAGGCATGTAAGCCAAGATCATGACTAAGAGCATCAAAAGATTTCTCGATTACAGTTTATCACCACCTACTGTTTGAATTTGAGATGGTATGTGATTAAAAGAATGTGATATACCTAGACTCGCCATGCCTACTACTTAGAAAGTTACTGAGATCTATACGTCATACAAGCGATCCTATCATCCCTGTCCCACGGTAATTAATTCGACGACATAAGACATCCGCGAAGCAAACAATAAACAAACATTCATTGTAGCTCAGTTGAATAATTAATGCCAAACAATGAATACAAAAAAATATAGACTAGTGAAACAATAACCGATAATATCAAAATTTAAAGTAATAAATACCTGCGAGAATAATTAGATCAGCTTCACGAAGTGCAGTACGACGGGCATGACGAAATCCAAGTTGGTGGTTTCGACCAAGAAGACCACGAGCCATACCTGACATGTAAGTAGGTATCCCCAAGGTCTAAAAAGAAACGACTCAAGTTGAGAAATATCGTGCTAGTGAATTTGTTGATAAAAAATAACACGAAAAGTTAATGACGAAATGAAAAAAATGTAGGTAATCACTTAAAAATGGTAACAAATTGCACTAATCATATCAGATAAGACATATAGTTTTTATTAAATAGATGGTATAAGAGCAGATAAAGCATCTTTCAGTGTAATTGGGGTTACGAACAAACAAGATCGTGCATATTTAAGGGGGTCCGTATTTTCCGGTTATTGGTATTGGTTAGTCTTTTCAGTATAAGTCTACCTTGCCCGGATTGCCTTGCTATTGTTATTTTGTCACTAGTTTTAGTAAAGGTGAATTATATTAAGTACTGGAATCCATAAGGAGCGTTTCGATCTATTTGAAACTAGTCAGCTAGATATATACCTGCATCTCAGTGTTGATGTTCACATACTGAGACCCAAACCCAGTGCCTATCGCTTCAAATACCAGTGTGTTATTGATCATAACTTTTATTTTTGAATGTCAAACAGAACAGGAAGATTGAAAAAAAATTGGACGAAACAATGCATAGAAACAGTCCAAAAAATACACCAATCATATATCATAAACATTTAATATTAAAAAACATTAATTTCAATCGCAGAATGTTGACTACTGATAACTGTGCACAAGTTACATGAAAATAACGTGTTACGACCTGAACATGTAAACAATGATTAGATCTTTAAAAATCAACTCACTTATGACTATTATGGTGTTTAAGTTAGAAATCACCAAAGTAGTTAAACCGGTGAGATTAGGAAGTTAATAAAAGCATTGACATAGTAAGGTACACAAAATCTACATACAGAAATACGCATGAAAACGTATTTCTTCTTTACAGTATTTGTGATACTGTAATTAAGTAATTTAAGTAATTGCAATCATTGATGGACGAGTACTTAAATCGATTCCTCAATGCTTTCGTATGATTGGTGATGAATAGAATTCGCCAATCTTCTCGAAATGCTCTGATACGACTATGGGTTTATAGCTGTCAGGAAAGTCCTACTCACTGTATACAAGTGGCGGATGACAGAACGAAAAGAAAACGTTCGGTGTTTAAACTGAGTCGGTGGGTATGAAGGTCCCATCTGGGGCAGTTAGAAAATCCTGATATCAAATCGATGATATACACGGACTCTGCGATCCTGGAGGGGATGAACGGCGTGTGAACTTCTTTTTGGTCACTGAATGCCATGAGAGGGCACCTCCTGACGTTACACTACTGTCTTGAGGGCCAGACATTTAGGTCAAAGGCTCGGAAAGTGACCGCCTTAGAAAAATACCTGCTTTGAGTTGGAAGCTCGATCAGTATTTTATTTTTGATATTCAGTTATCCCAGACTTATATGCATTAAGTCAAGTTTCAAATACTGAGTTATAGGAATACAAGTGCTTACGAACTCAAGTAGCATCGTTGAAACTTTAAAAAAAATGGTCAACAAAGAATAAACAACTACATAGTTGGTAGGTTTTTTAATAAGTTAACTAGCTGAACTGAGTTCCTAGTAAGGATAGTTATAGCGAAAATTTTCGGATTACTATAATTTCCGCTTTCATAAAAACTCTTAGGTTTTTTCAAGCATTTCTCACAGGTTAACTACATTAAATAAAAAATTGGACTTAATTCAATACACTAAAGAGGAATCTAAATCAAACGACATACTATGCAAACTGGAACACTGACGAAGCGATTTTAGAAATTAGCAGAACATTATGGCTTAAAAGATAAGACGTGTGTCAAACATCAAAGGGGCCACGTTTGTTGTTCGAAAGCTAGTAATACTAATCAATTTCCTAAGCCAGAGTGAATAAAGAAGAATTGAAAATCGACAGCCTAAACGTTGAAAGCTGATTAAAAACGGATTAAAAAACCACCACTCCACAAAAATAAAACTTATAGTTTTTTGTTAGAGATTGATTGGTCTTAAAGAAGTACAAAGAATATGATATTTAAAGTCTTAAAAAGTGACTGATGTTGACAAAACGACCTCACTGAAGAGACATAAACGGATCACGTCAACACATCAAACAGTCTAGTGAAGCATGTTCATGTTATGGTATGAGTTTTTTGAAGGTTCTTTGATTTAGCATCTACTATAGTTAAGGTTCCAAGAATGAGAGGAAGACTTGGTTGATAGAAAACAAAACATACCTTAGCCATTAAAATTGAAAAAGGTTCACAACCCTCCGAAACCTACTGTTGGTTAAGATATTCAAATAATGGCTACAATGAGTAAATTGTAGTATTTGAAATATACTGTTTAAAATTTATATATAAACTTAAAATAAACAAATACTGAATTTAGATAAATTTACTTGAACGTGAACGGCTGTCTCTTTAGCTGAAATTGGAGGTAAAACAGCTTGACTACTGATAAGTAGGATTGGTTTTTCAGAAAGTCTTATCAGCTGAGCTAATTTCTTCACTTGTCTTTTAGATGGAAGAGGAATTTTCGGTGATTTGACAACAATTCCATCTGAACCGTTTGTTTTAGATGGATGTGATTTCGATGAGAAACCATTGGCGAATAAATTGTAAAGATAGAAACGTAGATACCTGAAGGAAAAATGAAATGGTATAAAAAAAGTGTGTGACAGGCTAAAGTGTAAGCTGTGTAGCACTAGATCTTCTAGAAATAGGTGCAGAAAATTTTGAAAAATATATAGGATAAATATTCCTTGGTAAATTAAATTGAATACATTAACGAGTTTTATCATCCTGTTATTTCACGGTATTTTCCACATATTTATATTCTTACGCATCAATTACTGTTGTAGTTTATACTAAACACAAAGCAATAGTTAATTGATTATGGACAGGCTAACCAGCCTTGAAGAAAAGTACTTTGGTGATGTTAAGCTCTCTGGAATAGACGACTCAGAGTCCGCTCTCCCTCTCGAAATGCTCTCATATGGCCAGCGAATATATAGCCTCTGCCAGGAAAGTCCTACTCACTGCCTTCTCGTGGCAGGTGTTGTTAACGAAATTGAGAGGACGAAAAGCGAATGTCCGGCGCTTTAACCGGGTTGGTGGAGTTGGAAAACCCTGATTCCAAACCAATGGTGCACATGGGCTCCAGTATACTGAGGGAACAAATGGCGTACGAGTCAACCGTTGATCACCGGCTACCATGGGACTGCATCTTCTCACAATGCTCCACTGCCTTGTGGATCAGACATTCAGGTCAAAGGCTCCGGGTGTGGCCCCCTAAGAAAACCACCTGCTTCAGTTTGGGCACCTGAGCAGTATCACAGCCTTCACACAAATCGAATGAGATTTGTGCGGCGCATATGTATCTGGTGCTTCCTTGTACCAATATTTATGTGTTTAAATAAATAAATAATAAACTGAAAAGAATTATTTCTTCGCTCAACTTGTCTTTTTAATGTCTTCGTGGAAATATTTAATGAGCATCAACAATATCTAAGATCCCATATCTATTTGAGGTAGCATATGTCGACGGAGTTTATGAATGAAGCTGAGAACTCTGGTTTACAAAGCGGTTGAAACTGGTGATAACTGGACAGTTCACTGAGCCATAGCATCCGGTTGACGGTACTAAGTATCCAACTTTCTCCGTTTCAATACATAACGAAACTATTTTAAAATGTTGTTTATCATCACATTTTAATACAAACTTTCAAGTATTTTTATGGACATGTATAAACCTTTTATTTTTTAATTGTGAAGACTATAGATTTCTTACCGAAACATTTCTTAACTAGCTAATATGTAACTCAAGCATAATGTAACAAAATCCACTGTTTGATCTTTGGTGAATTTGTAGGGACACACTACTGACTTTCATCTAAGGACGTAACAGGTTTCAACGCGTACACCAACTGAGATCAGTCCATGACGAATAGCACCCACAACCCAAAAGAATGCGCACAAAATCTCTTGATACATATATTTCTCAAACCATTTCGTTCTCACTTTATTTAAAATCATGCAGTGGACTAACTGAATACACGAAAAACAAAGGTTACAAATCTGCTGGGTATGAGGAAGATAACTAATCTACACAAATAAACACACTCAAAATATTCAGAAACAGTGTAACTAAATCTACTTACCAATTTACAATTTTCTGCCTTAAAGAATTTGTTTTGTCAGACAACTTAGTATGCTGTTCAACCAGTTTGTAGGGATATAACAGGTCGATCGGAAACTCAACTAAAACTGGTCCTTAATAATATGAAAAGAAAAGACAATTACCAAAAACATATGGCGGAAATTAGTGAGGAATTCCATGCAATTAGTTCATGAGACAGATTTAAACAAAAAACAAATACGATATATGTATATATATATATATATATGCATAGAAGTCAATACGTTTTCGTGAATTCAAAATTTAATAACGACCCTTAAAATGAATTGTCTACCAGAGAAAAAAATTGTTTGAGAGGTAAAATAGTAATTTAATTCATTCTAAGTCGTTTTCAGAGACTTTACAAGTAATTCGAATGACAGTTTTGAAAATCATAAACCTCAAATCACTATATGGCAAGTACAAATGTGGATATTGGTGTGATATTAACTGGTATCATGTACATACATTTTTCGTAGATTTAAGTTGATATAAAATCAATTTATTTATGATCGAATAGTAGTGGATTTTATAGCCTGTAAAGCGATTTCTTCTGATAATACCCTGTATGAAAGCTAAAATACTATTAAATCAAAACAAGTGATCTTAGGAGACTACCCTTCAGTCATTAACTTGAAAGTTTGACCCATAAGACAGTGAAGCAACGTCAAAAAGTGCAATTTCATGATAGCAATAGCTCAAAGTGACGAGAAAAAATAGAGACGTCGGTATACCTGTGAACAACACCCCCGCCACGAGAAGGCAGTGAGTAGGACTTCCCTGGCAGAGGCTATGGTGTTGTTTACGAAAGTGAGAGGATGAAAAGCGAATGTCCGGCGCTTTAACCGGGTTGGTGGATGTGGAGGATCAACCTAGGGGAGTTGGAAAACCCTGATTCCAAAACAATGGTGCACATGGGCTCCAGGATCCTGAAGGAACGAATGGCGTACGAACCAACTGTTGGTCACCGGCTACCATGGGACTGCATCTTCTCACAATGCTTCACTGCCTTGTGGACTAGACCTTTAGGTCAAAGGCTCCGGGTGTGGCCCCCTAAGAAAACCACCTGCTTCAGTTTGGGCACCTGAGCAGTATCACAACCGTCACACAAATCGAATGAGATTTGTGAGGCGCATATGTATCTGGTGCTTCCTTGTACCAATATTTGTGTTTAAATAAAATAAAATAAATACCTGGGCAGACATAGTTGCTTATAATAGTCAAGCAAATAAGATCATAGTAAGTTTGGCGGGAGCAAGAGCGGATTGTGTCAATTAGCACCATACCTCAAAAACATTTGTTCGGTCACAGAAATACCGATGCTCGGTGTTGCAATGAGAACATCTTTTTCTGTTTCGGTGTGAAAGTAGTTGCTTCATAAGACTTAGATGATAAAGTTGGAAAGCTGTATTCAATATAATAGCATCATAAAAGCCTGGTATCTCCTCAAAATGAAATGATATTAGGTTATCCGAAAAACAGGTAATATATATATGTCGATGTATATCTTACTGGATTATTATAGTGACTTTAATGGGTGGTTTGTGAATCACATTGTTGTGCCGATGAGGTATGGCAACTTGAGCCGATGCATATGTGTGCCTGGTTCTACGTTGTAGCTGACTGACTGACTAAGTTTCATACCTAGCAATAATCTTACTGTCTGCAACTTTATATACAGCATCAAGTTTAATTATTTTCAGTAAAACCTTTTCTATTTCAATGGAAATGTACCGATAAAGTCACAACAGATTCATTAAAACATCATATTTCGTCATCTACAGCCAAAATATTTGCAATTAACAGTAATTATGTTACCAAATATATTAACCACTGGGAATCGATAAATTTACCGGGTGTATCCGATTGTGCAATATAAAATGCTTCACAAAGAACAGGGATAATCTCTCTGACGTAGTTTATACGTCTGCACCATTTACAAATTGGGCGAAATACAGCAAGCTGGTCAATATCTTGAAGTGATCCACGACCACGTAAAAGTCCAGAAGCAGCTCCAGCTAGAAGGACTACAGGAGATTCAGCCATCTGAGCATTCTTTACTGCTGTCACTGTATTAGTAAGACCAGGACCTATGAGGAAAAAGTTGAACATTTTACTGAACCAACTTTACTACAGAAAGAATCATGAATGTATGACTTAGTGACTAAGGGTACTTCTTTGTTGGTGCTACATGTCTATATATGGAAGAGAAACTGTATAGAACACATTTCTATATTCAAAATTTACACAAAGCTATTGTAGTACCTAGAATACTTGTAACTCGGTAATCGATTGCAGACTTGTGTACTTGGCTTAGAGCCACAAATACTATGTAAGAGTTGGAGACATTACTAAACTCTCAAAAGTGATATAAATGGAACAAAGTTAGGATCTGTGAAACAATCAACGAGATCCAAGTGTTCATTGATTACTTAACATGAATCTGTTAGATCATCAATTTTCTATAACCGTGATAGCACAAATATTAGCCACTACATATTCGGACTAAAAATCATACTTATGATATTAAGGTTACTGATGAGCTAAGATCGAGAAAACTAAACTGAAGTAGACACTGACACAATAATTGAAAACCTAAACTACTGAGCAACATATTAGATGGTTTGATGATTGGAAGAAGCAATTTACGCTTCATATTCTACATATCCAAGTACACTAGGTACGTTGCAAAATGTCAATGACAAACACCAGCCACAAAAGTTTTTTACAAGAAGGTTTAGTTGATTTAATCCTGAGAGTTTTCAAGGATGGCTGATTGTGGTTGATTGAGGTAGCTGATCGTCTCAGTGTACAGAAAGTGCATTTTCTTGAGATAAACGTAGATTGATCAGTATGACAAGGATAGCATAATCTATTAGCTTCTGTGGTCATCTGGCGCACAGAAATAGAAAATTTAATAGAATCAGGTATACTTCAAACTTCACTGAGGAAATATAAATCAAGTATTTCCCGAACAGAAAAACATTTTATGATATTCATTAACTCTTGTGTCAAGGAATTATTTCAACTAACTTCAGGCTTCTTACTTGAACACAAGTGATCAGATGACAGCTAGTGGAAATATGCAATTGCAATCAAATGCACTAAGTGGTTTACATTAGAGGAGCTCACTTTATTCGGTTTTATCGAAGATATGATTTTGAGTTATTCGTGATTAATCGATCATGATACGCATCCCTCATATAAATTTTAAAGATGAAATAGTTTTGTTTGGTGAAGTCACTAAAATATTTCACTGATGCTGGAGTCCGGGAAGAAATTTTCTTTTTACAGGCGTCAAACGTTTAAAGGCTGATTTTCGCGAGTGCATCCCTACAATGAAAAGTTGGCTAGTCAGACACATCGATGATTTCATTTATCTTTATAGTCTCCTTCAGTTTAGTGGGTTAGTGACTGGTTAAATTTCAGCATAAGCAGAGTAAGTTCTGTCTTTCCTTAGCTCGCTACAAGTACATCTGCCTGAAACAGATCATAAGTATTAATTTTGACTGCCTACTGCGGTTTTAAAAATTATACACAAATTTATTACAGCTATTTTCCGTGCTTATTTAGGTAGTTTCTAAAAAAACCAACACAAACTCAATTGTAAAGAGACATGTGCTGCCAGATCGCCACATGTTAATGTAATCTGAGTGCTGTTCTAAGCAGTAACGAGGCGAAAGGGAATTGCATTCGAATAAAAACTCACCTGCTGTGACGACAGCCACACCAACGGAACCAGAAAGTCTTGAAACAGCATCAGCAGCAAAAACAGCAGATGCTTCATTTCTTACATCTATCACACGTATATTTTCTTTTTCTGAAGCAACCAATATTGGTGATATGTGGCCTCCAGTAAGAGTAAAAATAAACGGTACATTATGCGCCTACAAATATATCAATATGCTGTTACTTTACCTTTAGGACATCTGCAACCAGTTCGCCTCCATTGTGTCCTGAGCTTTTATCGATCTGTTCATAAAAAATTGCTACCAACAAAAACTTACTTCGAAACGAAAGTGCCTGCGCAAGCCTTTAAATATAAAAAACAGACCAAAAGCTATAAGCGATCCAGTTGCTAAGAATGACATAGCGATACGATATCTGAAAAGCAAAAGAATTTAAACTATCGTTTTGATGTTTGAAAACAAAGATTAAATTACATACTAACAGCCCCAATTCCAAAATAAACGTAAATTAACTAGGAAAGCGTGAAGTATATAATTTAATCAGGCCAAACCAAAAACAGAGAGATTACTGGATTACTTCACCAAAGTGTACATTAAAGTTCTGACTACCTGCATAGCACTACTAGAATAATACTGAAACATTTTTGCTTTGAAATGAAAGATGTTCCACAGGCATAATGAAATTTAAAAGTAGTCAAAGACGAAGAAAATTAGAATTCGAAGATATGAATCACAGTGAAGGCTTTAATGAAGAACTGATATCAGCTAACATTCCAAAATGTTACGTAACTATACAGCTGAATAAATTTCGAGTTCAAGTCTAAGATTTGATATACTTAATTTCACTGGTTCGTCCATAAATTATAGTATCGTCACATAACTTTATTTGTTTCTATATGAATTAATCTTCAACAACTTCATTATCGATATGTTACCCTGAAAGTGTGAAAATAGAAACTACGACAAACCAGCTACTTGAGACGACCAAAAGTAAGCCCGCCATCTAAAGGTCGAAAACTTTAAGTTATATTATAGTACTTAAACGACTGTTTTATTTGAAAAAATTTTAGGGAAAATTACAGCTCAAAGTGTGAAACGCAACAATCATTTCACTTTGTGTTTTATGTTTTAGGACTTCTTATGTGGGACGGGTACTATTTTCTTCCAAACATGTACCAAGTTTTCAAATGGTTCAAATGGTTGAGGACGGAATAGACGAAGCTTAACGGGCTTCCGTGTCTAGCCTAGGTATAATAACGATAGTAGAGGAAAAAATGAATTTGGTAAATCATCATAAGTTATCCTTAGTCCTTAAGAATAAGCCAAATTCCCTCTTAAAGTACTCATGGGAAGTCGCTTGGAATAGTTCGGTTGGCAGCGAATTCCAGTATTTGGCATTTCTCTTCAGATTTGTGTATCGAAAACGGAAGAAGAACAGTCTATGTTGTTTCCTTTCCAGTAAGCTCTTTTAGATGTTTTTGTATTTCGAACAAATCAGTGGAATGGATAAATATTAAAGATTCCCATTGTGAAAATTAGAACAACATATGTAAGAGAACGATTGTTTTCAATTAGATAGTCATCAGGCTTTTACTCTAATATACATGAATATTTATATGAAAATGTTAGACCAATCAAGGCTATTTGAGTCAATAATCACAATGAAATAGAATATATAATCAAACATAAAAGTTAAAAGTACAACTTGATAGTCGGAAGTCAGGCGTACTGATAGTAGTAAGAATAGTAAATTACGATAACAAAAGTCTTTTCAATAATTAAACATAAGAAATAAGAGGATAAATTCCACTTTTCACAGGGGTAGTAACAAAGAATTGATTACTCGATGAGGTAACCTGTGTTCCAGCAGTATCTTGTTCCTGACTTGAAAATTCACTTTCCATATCCTCCAAGTTGTACTGAGTGTGTTGGACGTAAAATGGTGGATATATGAGTCCAAAACAAAATTGGATAATTTCTCAGTCTGAAGTAAAACAGAGTAATGAGTTCTATTCTTTTGAATCGCTTGTTGGACAGTAGTGTACAAAACTCTGAAGCTATACACGAATCATTCCTCTATGCCTCATCCGAGGTATCCACACACCCTTTGGAAAACAGGATTTTGTGGCCTCATTCTATAACTCACTATGGCTTTGTGTATTCCGATGAGCATTTTGTTTCTTGGTTGTTATAATAATCATTTTAGTGCTCACATGTTTTTCAACCATCTATCCTCAACCGCACGTCAGTGAGTCGTTTCGCGACATTGAGGTAAGACCAGAAGAGCTAAAGCTACTCCAGCTTTGAAGTTATTTACGCTTCCGAGTCCTATATTCACGAAGATACACTTGTTCCCATAACGAGCTATTGTGTAGTCACAGAGGCTTTCAAACCTTCATAAATAAACATGAAACTGATAGTTCATTTTTGTTTCGCTGAGAAGAGAAATATAATTCTTTCTTATTCCATAAGGAACGTGAAATCACAAAAAAAGTGTAGTAATAAATTACCAAGGGATATCATCTAGAGTGTTTTACTTCTGTACTTCCGGAATCAACATCACCATCGGACTTTACTTTGAAAGAACTTGGAATTGTTAACGTTACTATCGATTACGGTACTGAAATCCACAAATTGTGATGAACAAAATATTTTCCCTCCACCTAGCGAGTTCTGTTGCGTATTAAAATTTAGAATGATCAACCGATTGTTTGTTTTGCATACCGATAAAACTATAAAATATTCTTGTTAAAAGGGTCTTTATATATACTTTCTTATCCATCCACATTAATCGAGTCATATTCACTAGGTCTTAATACCTTCCAAAGTCAGTTCTGATAGCACCGTAGTCAATTCTGTTGTTGTTTTTGTATTCGTTCCCAGGAGCCGATGGTTAAATTATGCGATAACTTTGCGCTTCGAGTGTAATCGTGTATGTAAGAGCTTTGTTTTGACTAACAAGAAAGCTCTGTGAACTATCAGTTCTTTGTATCTAAGATCAATCAGATCAACTGAAACGGATCTCGGAGACGAGTTCCTCAGAATTCATTCCAAATACGATCTGAGTGAAAGGACAGCACACGTTTAACAAACTGTTTGGAGTTTATCTGTATTTACCACTTATGATTGGGTAGTTTTAGCCTAGAAAGTGAACAACAAATCAAATGGCATTAGATTTCGTTGGTTAGCTGCCAGGCGAGCTTTTATATTCATTCATACAGAATTCTATAGTTCAAACAGAACCTTATGAATCAGTCGTTTTTTGGGTTTTTTTATCCGCAAGCAGTTCAACTGGTTAGAAGAAGCGACTTCGTTCTCTTCAAGGTATTTGCTTTAGGGGTAGAATTATAGTTAGCTTTAAACTTTCTCTTTATGTTCCGGTGACTTATAAGTGCAGGGTTTACCTCACTTGTGAAGACGAGATATCTGTGCTTAAGAGACGAGCAAGCTTATCTCGATAACGGACCTCATCAGTACTGGTTTAAATTTGAAAATGTCTAGCAGTACTCTAATCATTCAAATTTGTGTAGACCATTGATAAGACACAAGCGGCAACTCGAACTGGAAATACGGAGTATCAAAATGTGTCGCTGTTGTTATAGCACGTTTAGACACAACAGAAAGTTTAATTGTTCAATGAACGTACTGATTATACACCACGCCTACAATAACAACCAAAATACCAATATTTTGTTTGACTTCAGAAATAATGAATCAAAGTTTATTCGATTAGGCCAGAATACTTTCTTCTGTATAGTGAACAAAACATGTTTGATTGACTTGTATTAAACTAAGTTAAAACACAAACTCGGTGTTCACTTTGAACGGTTCTTCTTTATTATAGTAAATAAGTTATATCAACAGTACTAAATACCACAAACGGTACAGCCTGCTCAATACAGTCAAGATTTTTTGTAACACAAACTTATGTTCTAAACAACATGAGGAATAGTTAATAAACAATAATTCAATGCCGAACTTTTTATAAAAATATTACAAACAAGATTGCGTCAGACATTTATCTACGTAGACTTTAGTAACCTTTCCAAGCAGACAGTGAAAGGCTAGCAGTCATGCACTAAACCACGTCGTGATCTTGAGTTGACTCAAAAACGACCTTAATGTCAATGCTTCAGTAACATGAAAAGTAAAATTAGGTGACTGTAAGGACGGCCCGTCGGTAGACTCTCGGAAGCCCTAAGAAGCCCAGGAAGAGCCGCAGACATGCCATCCAATCAAGGCTAGGGGAATGTTCTAGAAATGCCAGCGTGGAGCTTCTCCATTGGATGGATTAGTTTGATACCTATGTGCTTATTGGTTGACCTAAATGATAATTTATTTTCAGCCAATAACTATAAATACGCGAGATTTCTGTGCTATATTTTGACATTGTTCGGGGCAATAACTTCCTGCTTACCAGTCTTTGTCTTCTCTCTCTTTGCGACGTTGCGGGTTCTATCGTTCAAGTAGTCAAGTAGTTCGCGGCATATTAAGAATCAAGGCTCTAGATATAACAACTGGCGACGGGTTAATTTATCAAGATGTCTATTACCTTTGACCAATTTCAAGCTTTTCTAGAGCGCCATGAAAAACGCTTTGAACAATTCCAGATTCGCATACTTGAAACACTAACGCAGCAAATGAACCTCAATAAGAATGGACTTCTGCTAAATCGCATGCTCATTGTATCATTGATTCCATTCACGAATTTCATTTTGATGGTTTGGCTGGTGTAACATTCGAATCTTGGTACAAGAAATATGAAGATGTATTTAATGTTGACCTAGAAGCGTTTGATGATGCCGCCAAGGTCAGAGTGCTACTACGAAAGCTGGGAACCATTGAACATGAACGATACACTAATTACATTCTGCCCAAGAACCCAAGAGACATTTCATTCGAAGAAACAGTTAAAATTTTGTCGCAAATTTTTGGTGAACAGTCTTCCTTGTTCAATATTCGATATCAGTGCCTGAAGATAGTAAAAGCTGCCAACGATGACTGGGTGCAACATGCTAGCATAGTAAATCGTGAATGTGAGCGCTTTATACTATCAGCAATGACAGAAGACCAATTCAAATGTCTTGTTTTCGTATGCAGCTTACAGTCTTCAGAAGATGCCGACATCAGAACCAGAATTCTAAGTAAAATTGAACAGTGTCCAAATATCACCTTTCAAGAGGTGACTACTGAATGTCAGCGTCTGGTGAACTTGAAGCATGACACTTCAATGGTAGAGAATAATGGTCGACTACCTTATGTACAGGCAGTAAGTGGGAAGCAAAAGCAGAACACAACCATTAAGAAGCCTCCATCCGCATGTTGGTTTTGCGGAGAGCTGCATTACAAAAGGTTCTGCCCATACAAAAACTACCGGTGCACTAGATGTCAGCTCAAAGGACATAAAGAAACATGTTGTAAGAAGAAGATGCACTGTCGTTCATCAAGTGTTCATTTCCGAAGACGTAAAAACTGTTCATCTACCAATAGAATAATGGTGGCACATACCAGAACAGAACATCATCGAAGAAAATATGTGACCTTAGAGATTAATGGACGCCGTGCTCGTCTACAGCTTGACACTGCTTCAGATATTTCACTTATCAGCCGCAAAACATGGAGTCATATTGGCAAACCCTCGGTGCTCCCTACAACTCAGTTAGCACACAGTGCATCTGGAGGAAAGTTAAATATTGTTGGAGAGATATACTGTCCAGTTAAAAAAGGAGATGTACAGAAGAACGCGAACGTATATCTCACAGGAAGTCCAGGACTAGATTTGCTTGGTCTTGACCTAATCGAAATGCTACATCTGGCTAACCAGCCTATTAATTATATATGTAGTCGGGTGAAATCGGGTGTACCCACTGAGCAAAACCTGAGAAACTTGGTCCTCCAGAAACATAGTCAAGTATTCACCGAAGAATTGGGGGAATGCAGAAAAGTGAAAGCACTACTAACCGTAAGGACGGGAGCAAGACCAGTGTTCAGACCTAAACGTCCCG